CACCCGCCGAAGTTAGGTTGAAATGATCAAGGCATTGAGACAAGGGAACTCCTGGAGTCCCAGATGATGGGCTAGCACTAACAAATTGGGAAGGTCATATTAAAGAGTTTAAGTTGAGTATATAACAATCCCAAAATAGCAGGTTTTGGGAGGGGCCCCTGAGCATTTAGGATTTTTGTGCTATGTTCCATGACCTTTCTTTGGAAGCTTCTTGCACTTACATGGGGCTGCAAGGTCCATGTTGGTGTCCAAAGACAGGTATGGGTGAAACTTGTGGGGCAGTTGTTCGTGGCCCACAATGAAGCAGGTACAGGAGTTAGAGTGGCTAAGTGGGGTCCCACAAATATCCAGCAAGGGGAATTGGTGTTGTTGAGATTGCGTTGAGCAGTGTAAGTGATGGGGCTAAGGGGTTAGAGTTGCATTCTTGTGTGGTCCAGGGCAGTGTGAGGGGGATTATCAGGCAGAAGTGAGTTGTGGTCAAAGAGGTACCCATTGATTTCTTTAAGGGTGTAGTCCTAGAAGTCCCCCTGGAGGAATGTTGACCACACTAAGGTATTGGACATAACAGAATAGAGAATTTTAGGATTTATCTGAGATGGCCCCTTTTTGAAGAGCATACTCAAAGGTGTCAGGATTGTTTTCTTCATTAGAGGTCACAGCAGGCTTGGCTCGGGAGAGATGGATCCAAATGACAATTTCTGGGACCTTAATGACTGTAGGGTAGGGCTGAATAAAAGAACAGTATAGGGTCTCATCCATAAAGGATTTAGTTGGGATCCAGGAGATCCATCTCTCCAGGTTTTAATTAGGACCTCATCTCCTGGTTGGACTGAGGAAGTTGGGTTTGAGTGGTGGGGCTTTGGTAGGATCTGTTTTTCCCATAGCATCTCTCAAAGACACTAACTGAATAAGTCCTGTCCCAAGAACAGATGAATTTTAGCCTGGTCAGTAGGGCATTCATTCCCATAACCAGACAGGAGTTGAAGGAAAGCTTACCCGCTAAAGAGGTTAAGACAGAGTAGGTGGCTCCCGTGTCCAAAAGAAAATTCATTGTCCTACTTGCCACGTCAAGGGTCACCCTGGGCCCCATTGCAATGATGGAAACAGTGAGTGGGGGAGCCTATTGGTGCCCTAGGACTCCTTAGACCGTGGTGGTTACAGCTAGAAGGGATTCTGAACCTCTGGTTCTCCGACTAGAGGGGAAGTCTCTCCTCCAAGGTCCCATTTGAGGACATTGAGCACGGGTCATATTATGGCCTTAAGGACATTCATCTCTCCAGTGTCCCTCCTTTTTGCAATGGTAGTAGGCTCCTTTTGGTGTCTCCCTTTTGAGGGGGCGACCCTGTGGTGATGACTGGTGTTGCAAGGCCATCAGGAGTTGAGCCTGTTTCTGATCCTTATGTTTTTCCTTTCTCCCTTTTTTTCCCTCCTGGTCCTGGCCATAGAACACCAAATTGACCACCTTAAGGAGTTCAGAGCTTGGGGTGTCTGACCTTAGGGAAACTTTTGGTGTTTCCTCCTAATATCTGGGGTGGTCTGAGTGATGAGTCAGCCATTAAGAACTATAAGATATCTGGGCGCCTGGGTGGCTCAGTTGGTTAAGCAACTGCCTTCGGCTCAGGTCATGATCCTGGAGTCCCCGGATCGAGTCCCACATCGGGCTCCCTGCTCGGCAGGGAGTCTGCTTCTCCCTCTGACCCTCCTCCCTCTCATGCTCTCTGTCTTTCATTCTCTCTCTCTCAAATAAATAAATAAAATCTTTTAAAAAAAAATAAAGAACTATAAGATATCTGATCTGGGATCAAGGTTGGTATGTTTAGTTAAAGTCTATTTTGGTCTTTCCATAAAGGCTGCAGGGTTTTCGTCCTTTCCCTGGTTTATGAGAGCCAGCTTGTTATAATTAATTGGCTTTGAATGGCATCTTCATTCCATTTGTTAGACAGATTGTAAGATGGTCTTGGGACCATTGTCCTTGTAGAGTCTCATAGTTCCAATGAGGATCTGTGATTGGGATTGCCATGTTATCTGCTAGATACCTCACACTGGAACTATGAAGTTTATCCCCAAATTGGATGGTGGGCTCCCCAGTTCCATCTCAGTCTGCCTTGGAGAGAGTCTGATTGAGAATGACCACTGTGTCCTTGAGGACAAATCAAAAGTTAGTGCCGGGACACGTGGGTGGCTCAGCTGTTAAGCGTCTGCCTTCGGCTCAGGTCATGATCCCAGGGTCCTGGGATCGAGCCCCGCATCAGGCTCCCTGCTCAGCGGGAAGCCTGCTTCTCCCTCTCCCATTCCCCCTGCTTATGTTCCCTCTCTCGCTGTGTCTCTCTCTGTCAAATAAATAAATAAAATCTTTAAAAAAATTTTTTAAAAAGTTAGTCCCAAACTAACTGATATGTAAGTGTAAGGGTCCTCAGAAAAATCTCCCAAGTCCTTTTGGACTTGGTGGAGATCACTCATAAAGAATGGAGTTTGGACCCGCATGGTGGTTCCAGTTGGACCATCCATTTCCTAGAGGGGACACAGAATTGGAAGGGGCTTGTTAGGACTTGAGGTTATTGGTGGTCCCAGATATGGGGATACTAGATCATTGTTTTGGACTATGGTAGGGTTTGGTGGGGCAGTGGGGCTTGGGGAAGCCCCTTCTGGTGGTGGGGTAGGGGGCTTAGGGCTTGGATCTGTGAGGAGAGCTAAAGTGGACAGCTCAGTTTTGCAGGTTTTGAAAAGCCTGGGGTTTGTTTGAGGAACATGAGGACTTGGACCTAAGGGATCTGAGACCTCTGTCCTTAGTCTCTACAAAAGAGGTCTAGCTGTAAAATGGTATTATAAAGATTTTTTTTTTTTTTTAAGAGAGAGAGAGAGCATGAGCAGGGGAGAGGGGCAGAGGGAAGGAGAGAAGCAGACTCCCCACTGAGCAGGGAGCCTGATGCAGGGCTCAGTCCCAGGACCCTGGAATCATGACCTGAGCCAAAGGCAGATGCTTACTGACTGAGCCACTCAGGCGCCCCAGTAAGATGGTGTTATAATCCAATGTCCTATTGTGGGGCCCTTTTGCCCCATCTCTTAGTTTATATTGGGGCCATGCTGTATGCAGAAAAGATGAACCATTTCCTTTGGGGGTCACGGGGCGCCTGGGTGGCTCAGTCGTTAAGCGTCTGCCTTCGGCTCAGGTCATGATCCCAGGGTCCTGGGATCGAGCCCCGCATCGGGCTTCCTGCTCTGCGGGAAGCCTGCTTCTCCCTCTCCCACTCTCCCTGCTTGTGTTCCCTCTCTCGCTGTGTCTCTCTCTGTCAGTTAAATAAATAAAATATTAAAAAAATAAATTAAAAAAAAAAAAGTTTGGGGGTCAAACATTCCAGTTAGCGAGGATGCATCCCGGGGTGCATCTGATAACCAGTTTCCCATCTGTAAGGGGATAGCAAAGAGAAGGAGAAGGAGTAGACACAATATTCCAAGAATGTCCCCGTTGAAATGTTGTGTATCCAGAAGGGAGATGGCCTTCCTCCCTGCTTTGAAGAACAACCCTGAGGGTGTCCCCCCAGAAGAGGCCCACAGCCTTAATTAATATTATTACAGCCTTTCCTTTCTTTACCTGCCTCCTCGCAATTGAGGTGCCCATGAGGGAGGACATTGGTATATTTTACGGTTCTTAATGAGTCCCCGAGTGCCAAGATGTATGCCCTGGCCCTCGACATCTATATAGTTCCATTTCCGGATTTCATCCCAGGCCCTCTCAGAAGTATTAATTTGAGGAGTTGGAATAGGCACAAAGATTTGCCTTTGCCCAATTGGAAATAAACTCCCACACAATACCATGATTATCATGCACCCACCTTGGATTTAAGTTTCAGGGGCCGATTGAGACCATCTTTCCAGAAAGAAGGGGAGGGGGGCACGTAAGGAGGTCTGATAGGAGGCAACGGAAAAGGTAGAACTCCTGGTTAGATGCATCATCCAGGAGGTTGAATGAGTATGAGGATGGTCGGAACCAGCAGATCGGACAGCACGTCCTCGGGTTTTGAGGGGCACACACTTTGTGTGATGGGAGAGAGGTTTAGGAAAGGAAGAAATGCAGACAGGAGTAGCCAAATTGCAAAGGGAGTGAGAGCTGACATCCTTGAAAATAAATCAGACGTGGGTCCTCTAGCCCCAGCGGGGTGAGGACCTTGTGCGATCGGATCTTACCTTGTGCGATCGGAGTCACGGCACCAAAAGATGTTACCGGTGGAAGCTTGCGTTGTGTCAATGGAAGTCTCGGTTCTTGGATTCCCCTCAAAAGATTTTGATGAGGATCCGCTCTCGAATAAAGACAGAAGGAATGTACTAAGCAGAAAGCATTTTATTAAAGAACAGTACACTGTCAAGATGGAGGGGAGGGGGATTGACGACTACCCCAAGGCTGTAGGGAATTTTTTTTCTATGTAAGTGGGGCCTAGAGCCATGGAGGAGGTGGTCTTTAATGGAGGTTGCATCGCACCGTTTGGAGACTCCTCCTTCCCGTGCGGAGGGAGAACTTTTGCCCCTACAAGGTTCCTCCCGGAACTGTCAAGGCCGCCTTCTCCCACCTGGGGCGGGGGGGGGGGGGAGTGAAACCGCAATGCGAATGCATTACAATGACGTTTGCTCTGTACCAGCTACCCTTGGTCCGCTAGCCGGGAAACCACAACGCTTGCTTGTCTTTCTTTTAGACGAGCCCCCGGAGGCTTTAAGGGCAAGCCCTCCATTACCTATCCCTCCCCCTCCCATCCCTTAATGCCTAACACGCTGCCCGCCACGTAGTAGGGGGCTCAATAAAAGCTTGTTGCATGGATCAGCCCAGCTGCGAAGCCCGCCTTAAGCGCAGCCAGAGGACAGACCCTGGCATGGACCGAAATGTACCGAACAGGAAAAACCTGACGCCAGGGGGAGCAAGAACCCGTGCTCTCCAGATCTCGCGGGAGTTGCTCGCGCGCCGGCGCACGCGGCAACGTCACGGGTTCTGTTTCTGACGGAAGCGCGGGGCGTGAAGAAGGAGCTACCCTAGGGCGCGCGGCCTCGCCTGTGGCGTGGGAGTTGCTTCCGGGTTGCGCGCCCGGAAGCAGGAAGTTGTCGGCTTACCCTCCTCGCCCGGCGGCTGCTGTCCCCGAGGCGGGAGGAGCCCGAGAGGGCGCGGGCCCCGCATGTGAGTGACTGGGGCCCGAGGCCGGGAGGGGGGGAGGCCGCGCTGTGACAGCCTCACCGCCGCGCCCGTCTGTGACATCCTCGCGCAGCCCCTTGCCCCTGCGCAAACCCTTTTCCTGAGCCTCAGGTGTTTCGCAGACTGTACCCCCGGCAACTTCCCCCTCCGCGCCCCCGCCAGGATCGACTCCCTTAAGACCTCTTTTCTTTCCTTGGCTCCGTGGGGCCGAGCAAGGCGAGGTTGACCCTGCTTGAACCTGTTTCGCAGGCGTCACGGCAGTGTCCAAAACACGATTGGCGCCAGCAAAGTCTAGATTTCACTGCCCTTCTGACGGATTTCTAATTTCTTTTGTATATTGGGAGTAGATTTTCAGCTCCCCCCAATATCTTTTTCTAATAATTGTCAAAGAAATTTTTTTTCTTTTAAGTGTGGACTTGGTATATGATAACCGTAGCATCTAGAATTTCAGAAAGTTGTATGACTTGGTTTATTGACCCGATGAACTTGTTTGTAATCACCTTTTAGTGCAAAAATCGCCTGCCCCGTGTTCCATACTGTCTTAAGATCATTAATCCTTCTGTCACACCTTTTCCTGTTTAAGAGCCTGCATAGCCTTGGTATTCGCGAATACATTTAAAATATTTAGTTGTCATTTTATAGTAGAAACTACTCCCAGATACTTATTATTCTGACTTTTTCTGGTTGCCATTGGTTTTCCCATGGTGGAATCCTCTATCGGCATTTCTCCCTTAATAAAAGTGTGTATTTGAGTTTATCACAATTTCTTTTCTAAAGAACAACCCAAATGCAACTTTGCTACATTGAAGGTTTGACAGAAGTTCACATAGTCCAACTTGCATACCAAAGAGTAATCCTGTTTGCCCAGTTAGGCCTTTCTGCTTTGGACCAAAACAACTTTCAAGACCCAGTTTGAATCCCTGTTTCTCTACAGCTGCCCTACAGCACCACAGATTGTCTAAATGGGAGGTTCCTAATCTCATCTAAATCCTTCTTAGGTTGATATATTTTTAAGAATAAAAGGTAAAATGAATAAAGCGTTAAGTAAATTAGTTTGGGAAAAGAATGATCACCTTAGGTCCTTTCTATAAATTTGCTTAGTAGACATTGATCAGATTCCATGTTCCTGAGGTGAATTTCCATGCCTGTTTTTAGTTTCTTCTGTTATTTTCTCCACTTATCTTTGGTTTCAAGTGTTAAGTAACAAAAATTTAAATGAGTAAATTTTAAAGATATAATTGGCTTTATTAATCAATTCATTAATTAGGCAGCATCCAGTCTAGCAAGTAGAGGGGAGCTCCTAAGGGCTACAGAAAAGGAAAGATTTTTAAAGGTAGAGAGAGAGGCGCCTGGGTGGCTTAACCAGTTGTGTCCAACTCTAGATTTTGGCTCAGGTCATGATCTCAGGGTTGTGAGATTGATCCTTGCGTTGGGTTCTACACTCAGCAGGGAGTCTGCTTGAGATTCTCCTTCTCCCCCTCCCCCCCTTCTCTCCAAAAATAAATAGGGAGCGCCTGGGTGTCTCAGTCAGTTAAGCAGCTGCCTTCCACTCAGGTCATGATCCCAGGATCCTGGGATCAAGCCCTGCATCGGGCTCCATGTTTAGTGGGGAGTCTGCTCCCGCTCCCCCTGCTTGTCCTCTTCTCTGTCAAATAAATAAACCTAAAAAAAAATAACAAATAAATTAAAATAAATAAAGTCTTAAAAAAAAAAAGGTAGAGTAGAATAAAGGCTTTTTTTTTTTTTTTTTTTAAATTAGGCAAGGTCACTCTCCTAAGGGGAATGGGATGAGTTCTATCAGTAAATTTTCTAGCGCTGACCAGAAATTCCATGTTGAGTGGTTAAAGTTCTAGGGGGTTTGAAACTGTAGTTAGGTTAGGTGTTAAGTCTTGGTTTACTGACTTAACCTAAGGGACACCATTTGGGGCCTGTGATTTTCTTTTTAACACAAGAAACAATTTAGTGTGAGGAGACATGGAAATAGGTATAATACAGAGTGATCGAGTTGTGTTTAAGGTTCAAAGGACAAACATCAAGGCTGGAATAAGGAGTTCACTCATTTGAAAAGCATGGGAGCTAGACTTTGTAGGCAGAGGAAATTATTTGTACAAAAGCAAAAAGATATGAAATGGTATGTCAGTGAAGCATGTGAGGAAGGAATGGGAAATGAGACTGAACAGGTAAGCAGTGACCAGGTCATAAAAGGCCATGCTAAGTAATTTGGACTTCATCTTACAACAATTATTAAGTATTAAATTTGGGTATTGGGACACATGTTTTACATTCATCTTGTAATCCCTGAACAACAGTGTTAGAAAGACACAATTATCCCCATTTTATAAAATGAAAACTCTGAGGCTTAGATTAAGTAGTATCTCATGGCTGCATAGTAGATGGAAGATCAAATAATTGTCCAGCTTTTTCCAACTCCATTGCCTTCTTAACCCACTGTCTACATTGTTCCACAGCAGGGCATGGGGATTGAAGGAAGTTGCTTTATTTTATTTATTTGAGAGGGAGAGAGAAAATCTTAAGCAGGCTCCACACTAGGCCGCAAGGTCTTGATCTCACAACCTTGAGGAAATGACCTAAGCCAAAATCAGGAGTCGGACACTTAACCAACTGTGCCACCCGGGAGCCCCTCAAAGAAGTTGCTTTAAATAGATGAGTAACGTGAACCAATTTGTGTTTCAGAAAGATTTGTGGAGAGAGTAGAGGATGGATTGGAGAGGAGAAGGAGGACTGGAAGTATAGAGATTAATTACATCTTTGTGATGGTCCATGGGAGAGATGTTGAGGGCCTTAACTGCCATTATGTAGAGCTAAAGAGGAGATGATGAATGTGGGAACTATACAGGGGGTGGAATTGAGGATTTAGTGATTGGTTCATTGGTGTGTTTGAGGAAGAAGGAAGAGAGGTTTTAAATTTGGAGAACTGGCGTTTCCAGTAATTACAAAGCAGAATATGGTAGGAGAAATGGGTTGCGGGGGGAAAATAGTCAGTTATGGACACATTACATGTAGGGGACAGTAAGAAATTTTGGCCGGGGTGTCTGGTAGATAGATAGATGGATGGGTCTGGAGTTCTGGAAAGTTGTAGACTGGAGAAGAGATTTGGGAATCACTAATAGATGGTGGTTAAAGCCATGGAGGGAATGAGAAGATCAAGGACAAATGTGATGAATACCAACATTCAGGGGTATAGTCTGAGAAAAGAGAATTATGCCAAGGTTTGAGAGCACTTGAAGGAGAAAATGGATAGCAACAGCAGCTTTTGCAGAGAGGTCAGGTAAGGTGATAGTTGAGAAAACATCCTTTGGACTTGGCATGTAGAGAGCTATTGGTGGCCTGAGTGAGAGCAATATCGGTGTGAGCGGGGCAGAAATACAATTTCAAGAGGTTAATAAACAAATGGAGACCTGAGAAAAAAGGTGAAGTAATGCCTTTTTTTTTTTTAAGGAGCTTGGCTATGAAGGGAGGGAAAACATGAGCACTGGAATTCTAGAGAGGAAGGGTTTGTTGTTGTTTTAATGGTAGAAACTAGAAAAGGTGAGGATAAGACCAGGTAAAAATAAGTTTTAAAATGTGGGGGTTATTGCTTCAAATATGTTCATATCATAAAGGACAAAAAAAAAAAAAAAAAGGCCAGGATCTGTTCTAGATTTAAATAGACCAAAGAGATATGACAGCTAGTTGTGATGTGTGACTATTGATTGGATCCTGCGTTTCTAAAAAACTATAGGGCATTTTTTTTTAACAGAAATTTGACTATAGAGTGGATATTAGGTAATCTTAGTTATTTTAGTAGGTATGATAATTTTGCTTATGATTAAGTAGAGCAGTGTCCTTATTCTGAGGAGATGCATGCTGAAATATTTAGAAGTGATTTCATAATGTGTCACAACTGATTTTTAAATGGTTCTGGCAAAAGCAGAGAGGAGATAGGTAAAGCCAGACGTTAACAATCAATCTAAGGGAAGGATATACAAGTGTTTATTGTAGTATTTCCGTTTTTCTGGAGGCTTGAAATTTTTCAAAATAAGCGATTGGAAAAAATGGAAGAGGCATATTTTCAGTGAATGAAGAAAGTATCAGACTCACCAAGTTTCACTGGACAAAGATGTCCAGAAAGAGGACTTAGTCAAGTGATGCTAAAACTGCAAAAAAGTAGAATTCCCTTAGCTGTAAATTTTAAGCACTTCTACATTTTTAAATTCCTGCTCTTTTAAGTCCTATTGTTTTAATGTTCATCAACTATTTTTCCTTTAAATATTGATGTTTATTTTTTCTTAGCAGTTTTTATTACAACCCAAAGGCTGCATTTTTTTCATTTTAGTAGAACATCTTCAGTTAATGGGAATCGCTGGATAAAATAGAATGGAATTTGTTCATAACACTAAGGAATGGATTATCATACTGCATAGCTAGCATAGCACTAAAGAACCTAGTACCAGAAAAAGAAAATTTAATATTACTCGGGATATTGTCCCCACTTTTGAAGATTAGGACATATTTAGATCGGCTTTTGAAACTTTCTTTTTTGAACTGTAGCATTTCCCCTTTCATGTTTTAGCTAGATGCATCAGTATGGCATCTCAGAGTTGCCTAACTTGGCATAGTTGTTTAGTTTGGAAAACTGAGAACCTCCAGGATGATGTCAAATCAGTGTTTAGGACATATTTATAACCATGAAGGAATTCTGTATCAGACAGGGCAAAGCAGAAGTTCACATTCAATGTGACCTCTTAACCTGTTTTCTGCTTTAAACATTTTTATTGATAAGTTCTATCAGAGTCATTCTATGAGCTATGCCTCTGTCCTGTTTTTTTCCTAGACTTGAGACCCAGAAGGAATTGTGGAGAACATCTCATCAGAGCTGTCAGTAGCTTCCTTCTATTCCTGAGATGCTCCTTCAGAAGTGAACAGCCTCCTGGGGCTTACCTCCCCCCTCACCTCCACCCCAGCCTCCCTTGAAAGCAGAATTTCTTAACCTTAGCACCCTTAGCAGTTTGAGTGGGACAGTTCTTTGTTGTGGGGGGGCTGTCCTTGTAGGATGTTTGGTCTTTACCCACTAGATGCTAGTGGTGCCCCTCCAGTTGTGACAATCTAAAATGTCTCCAGACATTGCCAAATGTCCGCTGGGGAGCAAACTCATCCCTACTTGAGAACTGGTATTCTAAAGCAGTGTCTCCTAATTGGGGGTGTGCCTTTACTCAACAGGGAAGAGTTGGAATACTTCTGCACCTGGATCCCACTCCCAGAGGTTCTAGCAATTCATTACGTCGAGGGTGGTGCATGATACCTTGATTTTCCTAATTCTGCTAGTGACCCTGCCTGTGCCCTTGCAGGTATAAGCCACTGTTAGAAGTCAAGCTCACTCTTTGGAACTTCCCTCTGTGGCAAAGCTCATTCCTGCCAGAGTTGGATCTTCTTTCTTTCTGGAGGTAAAGGAATTGCCATCAAGGCTCAGCTGATTTCAGTCAGTCCCCTCGTGCTTGATGCTTAGCCATGACTTTGTGTTTGATTTTTTTTTTTTAGGGACAAGATTTTTTTTTTTTTTTTTTTAATGCAAATCCTTGTGTTGAGGGCTGACTTTCAGATCACAGCAAGGGAGCTGCCTTGCTAGTATGAAATCCCAACCCAAAGGGATATTTTTTGTGTGGTTTATTAACATCTAGCTACTAGATGCCAGTACCCCTCCAGTGTGACCATCAAAAATGTCTCCAGACTTTCCAAATGTCCCCTCTCCTGAATTGCCCCCAGTTGAGGACCACTGGTCTAACCAAAGCCAAAAGGAGGGCTTATTATAAAGATTCCTATGTGCTCTTAGAAACTTTATGAAATTATTAGTAATGACCCTTCCAGTAATTTGGGAAATGTGTCAGAATCTCAAGGAGGAAGGGTGTACAGTTTGCAGAAATATATTCAGTATCATAATACCATTGTATACTTGAATTATAAAAAAAAAAAACCATATTGTTTTTGCAATACAAACGGGGGGTTTGATGAGATGTTTATGTGTATTAAAAGTAGGCAGAGGTTTACAGTGGTGGGGAGTTCTCCTCACTTGCACTTCTGTTCCCTTCACAGTTCACAATAATGTGATGTTCCCTGCTGCCTGAGGGATACCTACATGTGCCCCACCTTCCAACAGTTTCAAATTATTTACTGGAATTTTTTCTAGAATTCTGACTGCTCTCTTTTCTGGTCCTTTACTGAATTTTAATGGATTTTGACTGGATATTGTTGGGTAATTAATTGTAGTTTGTTTGAACATTATCCTTGCTTGCTTATAGAATGTCTGTTAATTTCAACAGAAAAATGCTGTCTCTGGAATCACTATTCACAAAATCACAATGTGAAAAATATTGTAATAAGTTACTGCTTTATTCTTTTTCCAGGAATCATTGTAGTTGATCACTTTTCTAGTTCTCAACCACTAAGTTGTGATAATTGAGGGACACGGTGTTGTGGTTTCCGCACTGCCAGCTCAGAATAGGAAAATACTTGGTAAGGAAGACAGCATGCATAAAGGTTAAAAGCATCAATCCTGAAGTCAGGCACACTTGACTTCACATCCCAGCAAGTTATAGAACCTTTCTGAGCCTTAGTTTCAATATCTGTGAAATGGGATTAATCACACCTACCTTTTGGCAAAACAAAGAAAGCAAAGAAAGAGAGACAAACCAAGAAACAGACTCTTAGCTATAGAGAACAAACTGATGGTCGCCAGAGGGGAGGTTGGTGGGGGGATGGGGGAAATAGGTGAAGGGGCTTAAGAGTACACTTAACCATGATGAGCACTGAGTAATATATACAATTGTTGAATCATCATATTGTATACCTGAAACTGGTAGAACACTGTATGTTAACTATACTGGAATTAAAATTAAAAACTTAAAAAAAAGTCACACCTACCTTCTGGGGTTGCTGTGATGATTTACTAAGATAATGTTTCTAGAGTACTTAGCATGGTGCCTGGCATATAGGATGGCATAACAGGAAGTGGTAATAGAGGAATGCATATAAGTCTTTAATTTCTAATGAATTGAGTTTTTCTACCTCCTGAAGTCTTCATCTGCTCTTAAAATTTTAGAGCTAGAGGGAACTTTGCAAACTTCCTAGTTCAGTCCTTTTATTTTTTGGATGCGGAAACAGACCAAGTGACTCAGCCAGATCATAGCAGTGTAATGTAATAAATGCCACAACAGACGTATGTTCAAATTCTGTAAATACACATTTTAAAAACGTCTCTATGGAGCTTTATATACCATAAAATTTACCCATTTGAAATGTACAATTCAGTGTACATTTTTAGTATATTCACAAAGTTGTGCGACTATCACTACAATTTAAGTTTAGAACATTTTTGTCACTCTAGAAAGAAACCCTGTATCTACTAACAGCCACTCTTCATTCATCTCCTCTCCCTCCCCTGGATAACCACTGATTAATCTATTTCCTGTCTCTATAGATTGCCTCTATTCTTGACTTTTTGCATTTTATTAATGCAGTCTTATGTGATCTTTTGTGACTGTCTTCTTCCTCTTAGCATAATATTTTCAAGGTTCACCTATGTTGTAGCATGGATCAATATTTTATTCCTTTTTATTGTCCAATAATATTTCATTGTATGGATATACCACATTTTATCCATCCATTCAGTAGTTCATGGACATTTGGCTTGCTTCTCTTTTGGAGCTATTATGAATAATGCTGCTTGGATATTTGTATACAAGTTTTTGTGTTGAAATATGTTTTAAATTCTCTTGGGTTCATACTTACAAGTGGAATTACTGGATCGTATGATAACTGTGTTTAAATTTTTGAGAAACTGTCAGACTTTTCCAAAGCATCTGCACCGTATTATATTCTCACCAGCAATGTACAAGGGTTCTAGGTGCTCGATATCTTTGCCACCTTATTATCTTATTTTTTTATTATAGCCATTCCAGTGGTTGTGAAGTGGTGTCTCATTGTGGTTTTGATTTGTATTTCCCTGATAGCTAATGATGTTGAACATTTTTTCATGAATTTATTGGCCATTTGTATATCGTCTTTGGAGAAATGTCTATTCACATCCTTTCCCCATTTCAATTGGGTAAATTTTATGGTATATAAAGCTCCATAGAGACGTTTTTAAAATGTGTATTTACAGAATTTGAACATACGCCTGTTGTGGCATTTATTACACTACACTGCTATGATCTGGCTGAGTCACTTGGTCTGTTTCCGCATCCAAAAAATAAAAGGACTGAACTAGGAGGTTTGCAAAGTTCCCTCTAGCTCTAAATTGGGCCATCGTTTTATTATTGGTTGTAATAATTCTTTATGTACTTTGAATATCAATCTCTTATCAGATATATGGTTTGCAGATATGTTCTCCCATTCTGTGGGTTGTCATTTCACTTTCCTAAAAGGTATCATTTACAGTACAAAAATTGTTAAATTTTAGTGTAGTCCAATTTAGTTTTTCTTTTGCTGCTTATGCTTTTGGTGCCATATCTAAGAAACCATTGCCTAATCCAGTGTCATGAAGATTTTTCCCCTATGTTTTCTTCTAAGGGTTTATAGTTTTAGTTCTTAAGTTTATGTCTTTGCTCTGTTTTGAGTTAATTTTTGTGTATGGTAGAAGAAAGAGTCCTACTTCATTCTTTTGCATGTGAATATCTAGTTGTCCCAGCACCATTGGTTGAAAATACACATTTTTAAATAGAGTTTACCTATCCTTTTATCTGAACCTTGAAATGAAAGGCTAGATGGCCTATAAAAAACACACTGAGCAAGAGCACAGACTTTGGGGAAGGGATTTATCCTCATGAGGTCTGGGGGGGTTTCTCCCCTCCCCCAGCCAATTCCTTAAAGTCTAGATTCCCTGCCTATTAATTCGCCATTAGCAGTCTGATTCTGATTTAATTGGTTTGGGTTGAGGCCCTGGTATGAGCGTTCATTAAAAACTCTCTAGGTGATTTTAATGTATAGGCACACTTCAAAACTAGTGAACTAAAGGGTTAACAGTCATAAAGAGGACCAAGCAGTCCTCGGGAGGCGCTGCTGGAAGGGGAGAGGGGCTGAGGTGCTCGCTGGCTGGAGGCACTGCGGGCCTGCTTTTCTCCGCTGAGCTCCAGGACTGTGTCCTCTGCTCTACAGGTGGCAGCATCTCCTTACTGAAAAAATAGAATTGTACCCTGTCAGTGCTTTTTGGGGTTAGAAGCACTTTGGGGATGAGGTATGTGAGACAAGAGGACCTCTACATTTAAGGGAAAAAAAAGACCAATAGAAGAGAACGTAAATCCCAAGCACAATTTTTTCTTCTGTAAGTGAAGGAAAATACTATTTTGTAGCACAAGCACTCTTTAAATTTAAATTTAACTGCATTTTACAAAGGTATTCTACTTCACTAGTTTTTACCTTTTGTTCTGTGGCCACTGTGAAACAATTTGGCTTTGAAGTAACTATGAGAAAAATTGAATTTTGAAATCAAAGATCCTTAGGTCTTTTAAGTATGTAAAATACAAATAAAAGGCTCTTTATTGTCTCAAATCGTATTTGTGGAAAAGCTTGAGGACTGCAGCCTACAAGGTCTGAAGAGTCCCAGTGCCATGGTTTTTGTGTTGCTTGAAATTCTTGCTCTGCCAATAACAAAGCGTATCAGCGTGTCCCCTGCAGTAAATCTTGCTTTCAGTGATTAGTTCCTCCTCTTATGTTGCTAAAAGGCGTATCTGTTGTAAATGCAAAGAAATAACATCAACAACACTCCATATTGTGTTTCTTTTTATTTAAGTAAATTACCAGTAGCAGACCTCTTGTGATTAGTTTCAGAAATCATTTTGGTACTAGTGTTTCAGAGTCCCATTAGGGATTTGTTTGTGCTCTAGACTAGTGCTCCTCAAAGTGTTTGGGAACCAGTGCGGGTCTATAAACAGTTTGTTACCAGCCCACAATTAAGGAACACCTAAAAGCTGTGTAGCACTAACTTGACATTGTCTAGACATAGATTTTTTTTTTTACAAAAACATTGGCCTGCGGTGGATTAGGAAAAACACAAAGCTGGTCCTGCCCAACAGATGGTCAGGAAGCACTGTTCTAAAGGAAGGAGCTTTGAGGTGGAAGTACTTGAAAGAAACCATCCTTTTTACATTTATTTTCTTTCTCCCAGGGATTTTGTATTGGAAGACATGGATCTAGCTGCCAATGAGCTCAGCATTTATGACAAACTTTCAGAGACTGTTGATTTGGTGAGACAAACAGGCCATCAGTGTGGCATGTCAGAGAAGGCAATTGAAAAATTTATCCGACAGCTGCTGGAAAAGAATGAACCTCAGAGGGGGCCACCCCAGTACCCTCTCCTGATAGCTATGTATAAGGTAAAAATGTGTTCTGATGTGGAGATACCTTACAGAGCATAAACTCTTCAACTTTCTCCCCAAAAACTACTGTCCACTGATTCTATCACTAAACCTTAGTTTTTCTGTGAATAAATTGGCCTTTGCTCTAGTAACTGTGTGTTACTAGGAAATTTGACTATTTTGTTAAATATCCTAGATGAAAAGCTATATATTTATAGTTAAACTGTATTTGTGTATATTTTAAACTTTATTTGTGTATAATTTTTTTTTTTTTTTTTTAAAGATTTTATTTATTTGAGACAGAGAGAATGAGAGAGAGCACATGAGAGGGGGGAGGGTCAGAGGGAGAAGCAGACTCCCTGCCGAGCAGGGAGCCCGATGCGGGACTCGATCCAGGGACTCCAGGATCATGACCTGAGCCGAAGGCAGTCGCTTAACCACTGAGCCACCCAGGCGCCCTGTGTATAATTTTTAATAGCCCCAGGTCGTATGATAGAAGCTTGGTGAGCCTTGCAGTCCTCATAGTTCTCAAACTTCCAGTGCTTTCAGAAGTGAATGTAAAAAAATAATAATAATAAATAAATAAATAAATAAATAAATAAAATTTTAAAAAAAGAAGTGAATGTAAATGGCTTGTTTATGAAAATGGATCAGTTCCTAAGGCACGTTGGAAATAATAGAAGAGGCGGGTTTTTTTCTTGGCATTAAAGTATTTTGTTTGCTGGGACAATTATTAATCCTTTCCCTGTCTTTCCTTGTAGGTCCTTGTAACCCTGGGATTAATCTTGCTCACTGCCTACTTTGTGATTCAACCTTTCAGCCCATTACCACCTGAACCGGTGCTTTCTGGAGCTCACACCTGGCGCTCACTCATCCATCACATCCGGCTGATGTCCTTGCCCATTACCAAGAAGTATATGCCAGAAAATAAGGGAGTTCCTCTGCATGGGGGTGATGAAGACAGACCCTTTCCAGGTAGAATGCTGCATTTTACTACTTCTGAGATACAGCTTTCTTGACAGTATATGATGGGAAAGGAAATAACATGTATTGACATCTAATGAGAAACACTTTCCCTGTTTTGTCTCACTTAATTCTGTGGGGACTGATGGGTTTTATTGTCCCTGTTTTGCAGATAGAGAAACAGGCTCAGAGAGATTAAGAAACTTGCCAGAAAAACACTTCTGGGGGAGCCATATTCAACCCCCCCCCCCTCCAATGCCAGAGCACACGGGGTAGAGATGAGTGTTTTTGTTTTTAGGAAAGATCTGAATGTGTATTATTCTACCCTTTTCTCTCCTGTGCTCCCTATCCATAATAGGCATTTTAATAAATAGCTCTTGATTTACTGAAAGCATCTGAGTCCAGCTTGCTTTTAACCAGATCCTTTAATAGTCCTTGCGTGTTGGACTAGGTTTTTGTCCCAGTTTGTCACGGTCTTTTAGTTTAGTCTTTTCTCTCTGTCTCACAGTGTGCTTATTTAGTGCTCCTAAGTATACAGTTTTGCCAGTAAGTTGAATTTAAAAAGCATTTAAACTTAGTAACGGTGCATAAGTGCACCACAGGAATTTCTAGTCTGACGCATCATTTGAGGACTTTCCTTCCGAGAATAACATAACATGATAAGACTTGAAATTTACTTTTTGAGAAACAGTGGAGGGGATTTTGTTATTTGGCAGTGTTAATCTTATTTGCCCATATGAAGGAATGTGTAAATTAATTTTACAGATGGATTTAGAACTTTTTGTGTAATCATGTTCTGAAACCTTTAGGTTCCAGCATAACTGTTCAGGAAGTATGTTTTCTCTTCAGTGTTGCTTCCAGCAAAAATTTCCTAGTGGAAACTACACTTTATAATGCCCCTCTTTAAGCCAAGACCTAATCAGTCATAAAAATCACTTGGATTGAGTCTCCTTTGAAAGCTATTTTTGTACACTTGAGGGAGGAAATTATGGAAAGATTTCCAAAATTATACTAAAATCAGAGGAAGGGACCATTATAAAACAAAAAGCCTTGTGAGTTTTTCTTTTCTTGAATTAGCTCATATATAGAAAGTTTTTAATTCCGGACATAACTTCATTGTATTTATTGAGAGGGTTGTTTTTGAAATGTCATCAACAAAGCTAAAAAAAAAAAAAAAGTGACATTTCCAACACCCCTGTCAGGAAGGTCCAGAGCACATGGGGGAAAGATCCAGAGAAACTTGTCAATGAGGCCAGCCTGTACTGCATCCTCACATGCATTAGCCTCCTTTCCCTTCTTCCTGTCACTGCCTCCCTCAAGGTATCTTCTGCTCTTTGGCTCATAGAGATGAAGTTAGCAGTGTTTAACACCAGGTTGATGGCAGTTACTTTTTTTCTCCCCATCCTGTAAGGAAAATTTCCACAGGCTATTAAATTAGGAAGTGAGAGTCATTGGACCATGATTGCTTATTCTCTAAGTCAGAGTCTAGTAATTCAAGAAATCATAGCATCTCATCCACAAGCCTAACTATTGGGTCCACTCCAAATGAATATTTTGCCTTGCAGATGGAAATAAAATGAGTCCTTGGAGGTCAGTTGTAAAGAGAGAGCATTGGAAGGGTGGGGTTTTAGCTCTCTAATGTTGTTGACTCTATTTTTTTTTTTTTTAAGATTTTATTTATTTATTTGAGAGAGAGAGAATGAGAGAGAGCATGAGAGGGAGGAGGGTCAGAGGGAGAAGCAGACTCCCCGCCGAGCAGGGAGCCCGATGCGGACTCGATCCGGGGACTCCAGGATCATGACCTGAGCCAAAGGCAGTCGCTTAACCAACTGAGCCACCCAGGCGCCCTGTTGTTGACTCTATTAGAGTGCTGCTTTTACTTGTAAATGTGGATATTGATGCACCATATTTTCCTGTGTGTGATCATTCTGGGAAGCTGTGGCCATGTAAAACGAACAGCATATTGCATAGCATTTGGAAGGAAACTTAAGAATGCATAATATTATAAGGGGTAAATAGAAACATATTGGGGAGAATTAGGTACAAGAAATAGGAACTGCTGGGCCTGTAAGAGGGCAAGAAAGGGAAAAAATGTAAGTTACCATTCCTAATGTCATGGTACCAAAAAACAGCTGCCTTTTATTCAGGATTACTTAGTGATACCTTTTTAAGATTTTTTTTATTTATTTGACAGAGACACAGTAAGAGAGGGAACACAAGCAGGGGGAGTGGGAGAGGGAGAAGCAGCCTTCCTGCTGAGCAGGGAGCCCGATGCGGGACTCGATCCCAGGACCCTAACGACTGAGCCACCCAGGCGCCCCAACTTAGTGATACCTTTAAAGTAAATGTAGAGAGAATGGCATGGCAGATTCAGCTCCCTGAAGGAAAGCCCGCAAGCATATTGGGGCTGGCCTGTCTGTCTAACCTGTCACCCGTCCCCGCCTCCCCCCCCCCCCCCCCAGTCATCTGACACTCCTTGCAGTGGCACCTTGGGAATGACCAAGGGCAGTGGTGGGAGCAGTGCTGAGGTACCCGAGGCACTGCCACCAATGGTGCCAGGTTTCCTGCCGACCTCTGGTACTTTTTCCTCTTGACTCCAGCCAGGGAACAAAAGGCAACAGAAGTGGGGTTCTTTTTCTAGGTTCCAGCCTTGGATAGGAAACCCTGCTCCTGAATCCTCTTGATGAGAAGAACGAGGTGACTCTCTAGTGACTCACGTCAACCTCCCACTCTGCAGCAGAAAATAAATAAGCTGACACTTACTTAGTACTTACCAGATTGCCAGGCCCTGTTCAAACGGTTTTCCATATATTGTCTCATTTAATCTTCACAATATCCCTGTGAGGTAAGTTCTGGTTTTATGCCTGTTTTAAAGATGGAGACGCCAAGGTACAATGACATTAGGTCACTTGCCCAAGGTCCCAAGGCTAGTGAGTCATAGAATCAGGATTCGAACCCAGGCATCCTATCCTCAGAGTCTGATCTCTTAGCTTCTGCTGGGAGTAGTGTGTAGCCTCATAGTATGCCTGGAGACTCTAGCTCTAAGTTTGATTTGGGGGGAAAAAAAAAATACTTGATTTTGGAGTTCTTCACTCTCAGCTCTCAGCTCCCTAGTGCCTGGAATAAGGTTTTGCAGCTGGTACTACAGATCCAAAGATAAGCCAAGCTCTTGGCCCTTTAGAATTTTCCTGATCTAGTCTTTTCCTAGGCATTCAGCCCAGCTCATCTTCCTGTCTGCACCTTTACAGGTAATATTTGACTTGTTACTTGATTAAATCCTTTATCTTATTAACCCATAGTTTTCCCTTTGCAATCACATTCTTAGTTCTTGTTTTCCCCCCCAGCCTCCTATCTTTTTACCCACTTTGATCTTACCACCATACTCTTGGCTTTCACCCTTCTTCCATGGCACCACTGAGTCTTAGAGCTAAAAAGGAACTTTAGCATTGATCTAATGCATAGCCCCATTTTGTAAAGAGGAAATGGAGGACAGGAGAAGTGAAGTTACCTGCTTACCCAGCTAAAAATACCAAACTGGCACTTGAACCTTTGTTTCTTAACTCTAGTCTAGCGTTCTGTCCATCACACCACACGTACTGCCTGCTGTTTCTGCCCTCAGCCAAGCCAGGCTCCCTCATGTTAGGCCCAGTTACTTTGTTTATTTCAGGCATCTGTAATTTTTTATTTTATTTTATTTTTAAGTAATCTCTACGTCCAACATGGGGCTCAAACCCACAACCCTGAGATCAAGAGTCATGCGCTCTACTGACTGAGCCAACCAGGCACCCCTAGGCATCTATAATTTTTAATTGTGACACCCATTTATACTGAGGAGGCCTGGAATAGTTCCCATCTACAATGAGAAAATGTATCTCTTGATCTGTACTGCATAACTGGAACTTCATGTATCCGTGAACTTTCAAGGGAAGGTTGAAAGATCCGGCAACATCAAGGAGTTTTGAGAATAGTGGATCATTCGTGGACTTAGAACTAAGGACCTAATCAGAGTCTAGGCCAGTGCCCAAAGATGAAATGCTCGGACCTCAGGGAATGTCCTGTTCTTTTATTTGCAAATAAAATTTGAGGTGATAATAGCAGCTCTGTCAAGCACTTCCTGGATATCAGGCCCTGTGTCATGTCCTGGGCCGTGTATTTGCTCAGTAGTCACAGCAGTCAGAGTGGTTACCGTTTTTATGTCCATTTCAAAGATGAGACTGACGTGTGCCGGGGATTGACTATTCTAAAGTCTCACAGTTAGAAACCATGTTTTTAAATTGAAGTATAGTTGACACACAATATTACCCTAGTTTCAGGTGTGCAGCACAGTAATGAGACAAGTCTGTATGTCATGCTGTGCTCCCCACAAGGGTAGCCACCGTCTCTCACCATACAGCGCTGTTACAGTACCATTGACTGCATTCCCTAAGCTGTACCTTTCATTTCTGTGACTCATTCATTGCATAACTGAAAGCCTGTGCCTCTCAGGCCCCTTCACCCATTTTGCCCATCCCTCCTCACCCCCCTTCCCTCTGGCAACCATCAGTTTGTTCTCTGTATTTACGGGTCTCTTGCTGCTTTTTTTGTTTTGTTTTTTAGATTCCACATGTAAGTGAAATCATATAGTATTCATATTTGCCTGACTTACTTCACTTAGCATAACATATCCTCTATGTTCATCTGTGTTGTCACAAATGGCAAGATCTCATTCTTTTTTGTGACTGAGTAATATTCCTCGTGTGTGTGTGTAACATGTAGGATTTCACTTCTCTGTCATACCTTTTTAAAATATAGACTAGCTAGCATAGGGTGCCTGGGTGGCTCGGTCAGTTAAGCGTCTGCCTTCAGCTCAGGTCAGGATCCCAGGGTCCTGGGATCGGTCCTACATCAGGCTTCCTGCTCAGCAGGGAGTCTGCTTCTCCTTCTACCCCACCCCCTGCTCGTGATCTCTCTCTCTCAAATAAATAAAATCTTAAAAAAAAATAGCTAATATAAGGAGGCTATTTGGAGTAAAG